TGTAATCTTGTCAAGGTAGCAATATGTGCTACAATACACAGAAAGCACTGCAAGTAATCTTGTTTTCTCAATCTAGGGAAAAATGCAGGTGAATGGAGTACAGTCCTTCCCTGTTTAACACACACTAGAAACATCCTCCACACCAAAGCAAGTGAAAGCATATCTTTAAGAAGAAAAACCCAGCAACTTTAAACACTCTCAGCAACTGCAAATCCACTACAATCCTTTACTGCCCTCGTTGCTACTTATTAGTTCAAAGTACAACATGCCCAACTTCATCTCTCAGACACTGGATGGTCAAGTAAATATCATGTATTTTCCTTACACACATGTATGATATATACAGGCACCATATAGTTCCTCAGATGTACAATCTGCAGTTGTGACACCTGGTCTCCAAACCCTGGATCACTTTGGTCCCCGTGCTCTTATTAATATTTCACATCCTCCCTCACGTGTGAGCAGCAAAACCAGACATGGAATTCCTGTGATCTTACTAATGCCACGTACTTTCCTACTTCTGTGCAATATTTATATTGCTGCACAGCCAAAGACCACACTTCAGTTGCAGCATTGCAATGAAAACTCCTGTTGAGATGATTCTCTGCACAAATTCTTAAGCCTTCTTTCAATAAATTACCAGTTTGAGGACAGTCCCCTATCGTGCTGGTGTAACCACAATCCTGGTTCCTTTGTACATGGCTGCATGAAAAATGCCTTCTGATGGATGCTGATCATTTAAAAAAATTATTTGGAGTATGGTGTACTAGTAACTTGTTCCACACGTGCACAAACCTGCACATAATATGCTGGTAATGAGGCGATATCATCACAGAAGCTGTGAATATATTGATGTTAACCAGCCTTACACCAAGATCCAGCCCCCAGGGAACCTCACAAGAAACAGCTGCGCTCCCATAGAAGAAAGGCACGCCTAAGTTCCTCTCTAAACTAAGAAAGATTTATGAAGCAACTCTGCCAATGTTTGTGGTATTTATTCCACAGTGACTCCATGGCACAATTGTTTTAAACTCACACTTCACTGCAGACTTAATAGATCTATCAGGGACACAATATAGGGTGAGTCTGCTACAATAGAGCAGTTGATGAATAGCTTAGGAATTTGGGAGATGTGGGTTTTGACAATTCAAAATGCTGGGAAGCTATTTGCTTTAGTTCTACTGTAAACTGGTCTTTAACAATCGTTAAGACATTTTGAAGTATTCAGAGCGAGTGAGCCCTGGCTTGTCATTTATTTCAGAGGCTCCATTTTAAAAGTTTTCAATTTTTCAGCCAGGAAAACAATGAATAATGTGAGTAAGGAAAATCATTCATAGCATTAACCAAAGATGTTTAGGTTCCTTTCTCTAGTAAGGAAAAAAAACCAAACCAAAAACAACAAACCAAAAGAACAGTTAGTAGACCATGTAACCAGTCAAATAACATTGTAATTCAGCAGCACATTCCCATGTACATAAACATATACACAGGATTGGTGAAGCTTGCAGCATTGCCTATTAGGCAGCTGCTGAACACTTCCAATGCAAGATGCTGCTTCCAGCTGCTTGTAACTTGGCCAGACTTTGACTGCTTGGGTTGAAATTTTCCAAGTTGAATGTCTGCCTCAGGCTAAATTCTGTTCCATGTGCTGTAGGAGCTACCTCTGAGTGAGGGGTGCAGAAAGAGGCAGACTGGGATTAGAAGAACTTGGCCAAAATATTTGAGCTGTTTTCAGAACAAAACCAGGGAAATTGGTGTCTCCCAATGGCAATATGTGTCTGGAAATGTGAAAGGCTTTAAGGCTCTTCCATCTCCCGATGACAGATCTGAATGGGGGGTGGAGCCCTTTTGGAGGTCTCCCTCGTGAAAAGTCCACCTGCATTTGGTCAAATGTCCAAAACCAAGCTGCACTGTGTGCATTTTCAGTAGGTGTCTGCTAGGCCACCTCCACATTCTTCTCAGCTCCTCATGGTGATCAGACAGCACAAGCAATTACAAGCAAGAACAGCAACACAGAGCACAGCCATGACCAACCACCACTGGTTACCCTCAACAGGAGGCTCTGACAGCAGAGTCCCAGGTGTTACCTTATGAACCCAGCTGATGAAGGACAGTGAACAAATATGCCACCCTAGGCTGCCTATCTGCTTTTTGGCACTTTTCCTAAGGGAAAGAAAATCTAGGAAATTACTTACAAAATGCAGTATTAAAAGCATGATAAGCAAAGTAGATTTTAGAAATTATTAGAACTAAGTGGTTTACATTAACTAAAAATGTCTCCTAGTGCTCATATGCATCAATCTCTAACTAGATAAATCTGTATTTGCAGCTGACCTGGCCACATTTTTTCCCACTGAAGCTTTGCTGTAATTAACACACAAACTCCTCTTTTTGCCCTTGTTCTCTAGAGCATCATAAAACACTTTCAAATCACAGAGGAAATGATTTCTTTTCTCTTAGGTTCTTATATACTTCTCATCACTACAGTAATCTGTAAAATAAAGGATACTGTTATCCACATATTTTTAATACAGGAAACTAAGATATATTAAAGCAAAAAACTTCGGACACTGAGTCAGCAAATCTGACACTCAAGGCTTGTATTTCCAGCATGCTTAGACCTGCAAAACATCTTCTGTACACAGAGACCAAACAGACACTCATTTATGTTCCAGATGGTTAAGTTTAGCATAACTGCAAAGCAGATCCCAGAGACTCAGGCCAGGCTCCCAGAAAACCCAACAGACCACGGGCAAAAACATTTATGCTTATGTGGAAATCAACGGCAAAGGAAATCAAGCTGCAAAATCCGATTCTCCAGCTGTCTCAGCTCCGAAGCTGCCTCTCCCGCTGCGTACAGTTGTTTGCCCCATTGTCACTGCTGCCCAGCCAGAGAGCTGCTACACCTTGGGGGACACGTTGTCATGTCCCGAGCTGGCCGGGAAGGATGCTGGCACATCCTGTCACACCATCCTCGGGCACAGCTCCGAGGCGGGCAGGTGAGCCCGGCATCCTGAGCACTTTGCTTTGCAAACTTATCGGCGGGGTAGGGCTGGGCTCAGGGGAGAGGCGGTAAATGTATAGAATGTATAGAGATCAGCGACATCCACTGGGTGGCAGGCATGTTTCACGGGATCCAGACCCAGCGCGTATACAGAGGTACACAAAACGAAAGCTCCCAAATACTGGGCTTGTTCCCTGTCTCAGAAGCAGCAATTGAACGAACACGGTAAAAAAAAAGAAAAAAAGAAAAAAAGAAAAAAAGAAAAAAAGAAAAAAAGAAAAAAAGAAAAAAAGAAAAAAAGAAAAAAAGAAAAAAAGAAAAAAAGAAAAAAATTAAATCCCACAGAGGGAAGTTAGCGTATTCTGCCTTGATTTTAACACCAGCTTCTTGTCTGTGGTGCTGAGGCATTGGAATCGCCCTGGCCCTCGGGGGTTAGAGCTGCGAGGACACACAGTGTCCCGTGTCCCTCTTGTAGCTGGGTGCCCTCACTCGAGGTAGCAGGGACCTTGTAAGAGTTTCTGCTGCACTAATTAATGACCAGTGCCTACTGAGATAAAGCCTTTAAACTCTTCCCCAATTTAACAAACTGAAGGGCGATGGAAGTTTTTTGGACCAACGGCTATAAATGAGTCCATGTGTGTAAGCAGCTAAACTTTAAAGTTGAAAGAAACATTAAAAAACCGGTATTTTTCATGGATTTCCACTTAGCATCCACGCAGAATAATTTCAAAAGTTGCTTAGATGGAGAAGACGCCATCAACCAAATTTCAACCCAGGGCGTATATTTATAGCCATGTTGTGAACTACATAAAAAGTACACTTATAGTGGAAATGCTGACAAATGCAAAACTCCTGCAGCTAGCTATGACAGTTTGACCACAAGCCCTCCTTGTGAGAGGAAAAGGCAACCTCCCCACCTCCTTTTTCAGGCAGCTCGACAGCGAGCTGGGGCAGGGGGTGCCCGGTACAGGTACCACTGCCCTGTCCTCGCAGGAAGGATCGAGGCAACTCTTACTCCCCGTATTTCCCACATGTTGAATGAGCCACCCCCTGTTTTTGCCATAAACAACCGGAGGGCCTCTTACAGCCATGACTCACTCCGCAGGCTTCTCCTCCACCCCTGTGCGTGACTGTAGCAAACAGGCTGCCAGCCGGTGAATTAACACGACTTTTTTCGCAGAACCGTGGGGAGATCAGTCACACAGGGCAGGGCGGAGGGGGAGGGAGGGGGTGACGGTGTGCGGTGGAACACCAGCCCGGGGTGAGTTTTATACGTGGGGGAAGCAGCGGAGGAAGCGATCCGGGGCCGATGTGCCGGGGACGCCCGAGCGTGACCGTGTCCTCCCCGTCCCCCCGCCCCGGCTCGGCGCCCGCCCTCGGCCCCCCTCTCCTGCCCCACGACGGCGGCGGCCGGGAGGGAGGCAGGCAGGGACAGAGGGAGGGCAGGGCGGGGGCGCCGGGGGCAGTGGGGAGAGGGAGGAGATGAAGCTGGCACGCAGCAGGAGCCCTCCCGACACACGCGCCGCCGAACTCCCAGAAAGTTGGCAGCGGCGCCCGGCGGGACGGGGCTCCGCTGGCCGCCGCCCCAGGGCGCGCTCCGCCGCCCGGCCGGGGCCCGCAGCCTCCCCGGCCCCTTCGCACCCTGTCACCGCCCTTCTCCCCACACCTTTCATCTCGCATGGGTGCCGCGGGGCAGGGACTGCCAGGCTGCCGGCGGTGGGGCTCGAACCCGTGGTCCACGGTGTCTCTCCCCACCCCAGGGGAGGCGGCTGAGCCTCCCGGTGCCCCCGAGCGCGGGACGCGGGCGGCGGGCGGCACTCACCGAGCGGCCGCGGCTCCTTCTCCTGGTCCGGGCGGCTCCCGCTGAGCGCTCGCCTCCTTGGGGACGAGGGAGGAGGAGCGGGTGAGGGCAGGAGGTGGAGAAGGGCGGGGAGGAGAGTGCGGCTTGAGCCCTCCCGGCTCCCGTCGCCGCGCTCCCTCCCTCTGCCGGCACCGCCCCATCGCAGCCCGGCGGCGCGGCGAGCGGAGGGGAGCGCAGGGCAGCGGCGCGGCGAGCTGCCGGGGGAGCGGCGATGTGAGTGCCGGGGGCCGGGAGGGAGTGGGCACAGCCCCCCGCCCTGCGAGCCGGGCTCGGGCGGGGCTGGTGGCGTGTGGTGCGGGGGCCGGGCCGGGGCTCCGCAGGCCGTGGGGCGCTCGGGGCTAGGGAGGCTGCTGCCGTGCCCCAGCTGTGGCCGGCGACCCCCGGCCCGCTGAGTGAGGTGTTTCACTGTCGCTCCGGTCCCTTTGCTCCCGTCCGGCCTGCCGCTCGATCCAGGTTGTTTGTTTTTGCTGCGCTGCCTTGCTCTTATCGCCCCAGCACAGGCCGGGCAGCTTCGCCTGCTGCCGGTGGGGCACTCGGCGTCCCTCAGTGCCAGGCATGGGGCGCTCGGCGTCCCTCAGAGCGGGCCGGGAAGCTGCGAGGGGTGGGGGCCGTGGCTCCTCGCCCTGCACTCCCTCTCTGTACCCTTTCTCTCCCTCCTGCCCCTCTCTCCGTCCCCCCTGGCCTCCCTCGCTCCCTGTCCCAGGTCCCCCCACCTGGCGGCCTCCTTTGCCGCCTTTGGTTCTGGGAGAAGTGTGAGGAAGAAAATTGTCTGTGCCTTGGTTTTACCTGGGCAGCCTTACCTACTTGAAGCCTTTAATTAAAAAATTTGCGTTAATACCTGACCACAGGTATTAACAGGTATTATTCTGGGGGCACGGATGTGTAAAAATCCAAGCTGCTGTCTTTATTAGGTGACAGGGGCATATAGAAAGGTGTTTCTATCTGCTTGTTTCTGTTACTTTTCAAAATATCCTAACTTCCCTGCTGAAGAAAAAGAATCTTGACGTGATCAAAAACTTCTCTAGAGGTTTGTCTATGGGGCAGTACTTGATGGTGAGCTGTGTGAGCCTGCCTTGCAGACTGATGCTAGGTACAGCAGCGTTCTTAATTTTAGTTGTTGCTAAAATTATACCTGAACAGATTCCTGACCCAATTTATGTTGCTGGTTTTTTCCTCTCTTCTAATTCTTATCGCATTCTTCCTGACATAGCCCATATCCTTCTTCTGCATCTACAGCAGCAGACCTCTGCTCTCAGGAGATATCCCTGACTTCAGATATTTGACTTTTGAAAGCTGGCTCAGACACTTCACTTTAGGTTCCCTTTAGGTATAAGGATGAAACATACACCTAAGGAGTTCAACATGCTTCTCAGGTGTCTCTTTCAGATGCAAAGTGTGCTGGTTTTGAGATGGCAGTTTCCATCTATTGACAGGGAGAAGTGAGACAACTCTACCTCACTGTTTAGACAACTGAAGTTAGAGGAGATGACCCAGAGAACTGCAGCTCCATACATGCAGAAGGCTGCCTTCCCTGATATCTTTGTGCATTCTTGTATGTTAAAAGTGTTTGTGGCATTGGAAGTGGTTGAGTCACCATCCCTGGAGGTAGCTAAAAGACACATAGATGTGTCACTTAGGGACATGGTTCTGTGGTGGATTTTGCAGTGCTGGGCTGAGTTGGACTCAATGACCTTAAAGATATTTTCCAACCTTAATGATTCTGTGATTCTGTAAGTTACAATTTTGAAAAGAGGTCTGGCATAGCAAATTCATGTGAATACAGGTCAGGCTGAGCAACCCCTGCAGACTCTGTTTTCCATTGGATATTGTAATTTGTATGTAGTTCACAGGGGGCTAATAGAATGCTAAAAAGAAGCAGACATGTGGTTTGTGAATTACAATTTACCAAGGGCTTGCAAAAATATATTTGACTTGAGGGCCAGAGCACAGCCCTTCAGAGAACTGCCATGTCTCATGTGGATGAAACTCTCATCTGGCTCTACTCTGTAGGAGCCCACATGTAACCATATATTGTGTGGTCTGTTAGAAATGCAACAAGCTGGGGTTAGGCAGGACAGTCACACAGACTCAGGGGTAGTCTTTTCCTTACCTTATTTTTAAATGCCTTAAAACCCCCCAAAAGTTAAGGGTATTTAACTAAGAGTTTTTAGGGTACATTAGTAAACTATGAATGAACAGTGTTGCTGTGAATTATTGGGGAGTGTGAGTCAGTAGGGGCCATGGCACTGGGACCTGTTCACAGTTCAAGAAAACGTTTTTGATCTTCTTCTCTGCCAATCTCAGCATTGCAATTTTAGATCTCACCAGTACTGGGATATTTGAATTAGAATTAGCTATTCTGGAACAGCTTCCCATGTGGAGGAGGGTCTGTTGTGAAAGACATGGAATTTTTTTTTTCTTTTGTTTTTTTTTTTCTACTTCTTCCTGTTACAGAAGTGTTACTTTTGTTCAAAGTACACAGTATTTCAAATAGTGTTCAGAAATAATAACAGATTCTGTCCTTTTGACTGGCTGTTACAGAACAGCTGCACTATCTACCCTGAATTAATTTGCTTGTGTACTCAAGAACTTGAATCTTATTCACACACGTGACGATGCACATAGCAGCCCTTTAGTGCTCAAACTTGCAGAAAGCTCTAAGATGTTACATTCTTGTAAAATGTTTGGGGGTTTTAGATACTCAAACCAAAGAAGTCTGCTGAGCCCATGTATTCTGGTTTTTACCCCTGAGGGCTTCTGATTTGGACAGATCACATTTTTTACCCCTGATACAACCCCCCTGCATCCCTGCCAGATTTCAAGTCAGATGTTTTAGAAAAGAGCTATTCAAAGCAAATGCTTCCAGATTTTGTTTGTATAATAAAATTCTTTTTCATTGTGTTCAGAACCACCTAAACCAGTTGTTTCTCTTTCCCTCTTGATTTCAGTACATGGTAGGAACAAAATCCTCTGGCCCAATTTCCACATAGAGTTTGGCAAAGCTGTCTCAGCCCAAGATAGCTACTTTATGAGGGTTTATAACCTTCTCTGTGTAAGGAAAGCTGTGTGCACCACCTGTTGAAACATTACTGGTGCAGTAACTTGTGAGGAGAAGCAGCCTGCAGGTTGAGAGTTCAGAGCCCTGGACTGTAATACGTGAGGCAGGTTATTTCTGAACCTGTCCTTTTGGCATACTCCCAAACACTGCACTGGGATGTGTAACCTGGTCACTGCAGCACGGGCTGTGTCATTCTCCTGGCTCAAGAAATGCATTGTGCAGAGTATCAGTACCTGAGTTTTAGTGCTTTCTCTCCGAGTTTCATCATTTTAGTATCTTTTGGAATGGCAAATAACAGGCATTGTAAATGCAGAGTTGCTACTTGTTCTTTCTTGTCTTCTTGTTCACTCTGATGTTTTAAATTAGTTTCAGAAATCTGAAAATATTTTTAACATGGATCAATTTCCAGTCTGCTGTTTGCAGCCAAGAGTTTGTCATCTCAGGAGTTCCAAACAACAAGCTTCATGTTCATTTCCTCCTTTTCCTTCCTTTTCCTTTAGCCCCCTAAAATGTTGTACATTCTTCTTCTCAGTGGTATGACCAGTAAAAGTTGAAGGAAGATCACTGTTCTTGGGGAGACACAAATTGGTTATGAGTTAGTGTGGGATTTCCATCTGGTTGGGTCTGCAGCAGTTTGTGCAGAGGTTTCCCGGTGCCCATCTATTGGTGCTGCCCTGTTCCCTGGCAGCAGGCTGCCAAATCAACTTGCTCAGCCAGCTCGGGAAAGTCGGGCTCCAAAGAGAACCAGAACCTTGTGCCGAGTTAGAGCTTCACAGTAAAACTGGCACCTCTCTCTGGGCCTGTGTCACCAAGCCCCTTTTGGGAGCCACACCTGGCAAAATGTGAGCAGTGCTAAACCTGAACCACGCAGACGTGATGTACTCTATTCTGTCTCCTTGTTTTACTAAAAGGGAGAAAGGGAGTTGTACTGGTGCTGGCCAGCTTTCTAGTCCTTGGGAGGTTGGCCCAGCTGTGGACATGAGAACAAGAATCAACCTTAACTTCTGTCAGAAGACAAAGAGTCTTAAAAGCTGTACTATTTTGACTGCAATGACTTTATAAAATAGCTGTTTCCCATTATTTGTACACAATTATTCAAGAATAAAAAACCTTTCTACTACTTTACTCTCAAGCCTGTATTCGTCAGATTGATGAAACAATCACAGACTTAAAAAATTGTCATGGATGTGAATTGTGACTGGAGTCCATGAAGAACTTTTAGCACCTCGATAAAGTGGGGTTTCACTTCACTTGCTGCTCCTTTCCAAATATTCCTCTTTGGTTTGCCCTCATTGCAGCACCGCTGCAACTTTGCAAGTTCTGTTGTTGTTACAGTGGCAGGTGTTATTTGATGGACATTTCAGCTGAGCTTGCTCTTTTTTTTCCAGTGGTGTGAGCTCAAGTAGAAAAATTTTAAGAGAATTATTTGTTATATAAGATTTATGCTCATAAACCACAGAATTGAGATCATAAGTTATGCAATTAATTTCATTAATCAAGAAGTGCAGAATTTAAAGTTCTTAAGATAGCTGTGCACACTACCATTTACATTTATTTTATATGTAACAGTAGAGAGAGGGTTTTATGAAAACCAATAGGAGATGAAACTAAAAGACTTTTATCAAGATGTGGATTTGTACTGAAGTCACAGGTGTGCCCTCAGGTTCTCCAGAGTGATTACTCTATGTATTGCTGCAGTGGTTTGCAACAGATGTGGTGGCCAGCAGCATTTAGGATAGAAGTGGGTGTAAAATAGAGCTGTGAAAATACGGCTTGTCAAATTCTCAGGTCTTGACTTGTGGTAGGTGCAGCTGTGCAGTCTTAATTTTAGCGCTTACATTTGATTCTGTTGAAGAGAAAGAGCCTCCTGTCTTAGGTTAAACTTGGAAGAAGGCAGAGGTTCTTGCACATCCAAAACATGCAGTGAGGCTTTTCTTAGTTTATGTTTTCTGTCAAAATTGGTCCATTGCTGTAGGAAGTTTAACCCTGCATTTAGCTGGAAATTTATTGTAGATGATGTCAAAGAGTTTAGAGACAATTTATAGCTCAAGCAGGAAAAGAGATCTTGAGGTATTTCTTAGCTTTGAATTTTTCCCTCCCACTCAGCTGGTTTACCAGCCAGAGCATTAGCTTTCTTGGGCTTTGCCCCGGTATGTTTGGGTGTAAGTCTCAAAAAACCCCTTTTAATTAAATGTGTGATTAAGTAATCACACAGTTCTACAGTACACCATGTAGGGATGAGCGGATTTCTGTTTAAATCAGGGAAAGCCCAGCTGCTTCTTTCTAGATTTCCAGGAAATTGCTTGAAAAGCTGTGCATTGCTAACCATGCTGTTGCTTATAGGTTGATATATTTTTGCAGAGTACATCCTTTGTACTTAGACTTACTTAGACTTTCAAATAATCATAGCCTCTTGGCAATTGCATTTTTGTGTGAAACACTGGTGGGGAAAATGCATTTTAATATCTGCTTCAATTGTAGGAGTTGAGTTGGTCAGGTCTGTTATTGTAATTAAAGAACTGCTCACACATATCATAAGGGTTGAGGGTGCTATTGTTGTGCATGGAAGAAGTTTTGGTTTTATTGAATATTTGAATATCAGGAAGTATTGTCCTTGAATTTTGTACAGTGGTCTTCAGACAAAAGGCCAAGATTCAAATTTTCTGATGTTATCAGTGTAATTGTGAATATTTTTTTTTATTTTGTCCCTCATTCTTTGTCATTTTAACTTAAAAATATAGAAGTCTGTTGTTCAAATGTGTTCTGGTGAACCAAAGCATCGTGTCTGTTGCTGCAAGCCAATGAGAAATAGAATTGCTAATACATAAGTCTCATCTGGCACTAGAAAGCAGTTTTTGATGAACAAACAGCCATTGGAGGTTGTTGGTTTTATTGTTAAATACATTTATATACTAACATTTCAGTTCTGAAGAATTTTCCTCAAGTTTCCTCGCTTATCTAATTACATGGGTCAGAAATTCCTGCTTTTTTACACTGAAACATCCAAACAATTTACTGCTGTGTCTGTGACCCCACTGGTCAGAACCTGGTCTGGGATTCACTCCCCACAGTAGCTCAGCGTTGTCCAGAACTGCACCTTTGTGTTGCTGAGTTCACTGTGTACAGTGTCCAGCATTTTTATGAAAAACAGTGCAAGTTGCACTTTTCTGACAGTTCCATGTTTAAATGGGGTACCTAGAGCTGCTTGTTTATCTCTGGCTTGCTTTGTCTTGTATTTCTGGTTCTTACAGCACCGCCTCAGTTGTAAAAATTCTGCAGTTTTTGGAGGTCAGATGGTCAAAGTCCCAATACTGAACTGTGCTTTATGAGACACAGTTGTTAATACAGCTACTCTTGGTAGACTTGGTTTAAAAAAAACCAACCAAACTCTTAGTATTTAATCACCCAATGAAGACTAAATTTAGTTTCTGAAGATATATATAAATATATATGAAAACCTGTGGCTTTGGTTATTGTTTCAGATTATACATCTTTTTTTTTCTTTCCCCAGGGCCGATTACTGGAAATCTCAGCCTAAAAAATTCTGCGATTACTGCAAGTGCTGGATAGCAGACAACAGACCTGTATGATGGTCTACCATACTATGTCCATTATTTGAAACGTTAGGAATTTGAATTACAGGCTTTAAACATCACTTTTTGATACTAGTGTCTTGATGCATGCAATTTGTTCTATAATAATGCCTTTGTAGTACGTGTAGTGCTTAAAATCTATTGCATGAGAACCAGATACCCACATACAAGATGGTGTCTGCTGCTCTCCTTGGCAGTACAGATAGGGACTAAATATCTGACCCTGCTTATTCTTCGAGTTCTGTAACTTAACATTTGGTCTGTCTTGAAACTCTCTGTGCCTGTCCTTCGCTTTCATGTGCAAGTAGAAAGCAAAACCTGGCATCTGTACTGTTTGTATGTGGTAGGCACAGTACAGCCAGTGCTCTGAGCTCCTAAGCAGGTTTCTTTCATTTCACACAGCCCACAGAAGCATTACTGGGTTACAGAAAGGTGTTTCAGACTTGCAGATGCCTTTTGCAGACTACTAGACACATTGGTGTCTTCCTTAGCAGTAGATTTTGCATTCTTGACTGGATGCCAGGGGTATTCCTAGAGCTGAGCTTCCTCTGGCTTACAGTAAGATACCTAATTAGCTCAAATGAACTGCAGGTATCTGCAGGAGTAAGTGAAGAGAAATACATGTCAAGGGAGGGATTTGAGCAATTGATAAAGTCTGTCTCTAAACGAGATGAGTCATCCTGGGATGTGCATCCTCTGCACATCAGTTTGTGCAAAGGTCAGGCTTAGGCATCTGACACCCAAATGCACAGATGTTTTTATGTGAGAACCACATGAGGACTACCACTGTTGTACCTGAGCTTCTGAACTCCTTCCAGCTCCTACTGGTGTCAGTCTTTCTGGCAGCTTTTTGCCTTGCAGACTGTTCTGTTATCCTTAGTTATCCAACTCACCCACTTTGCCTTTTCGTCCTTCTCTCCCTCTTTTTCAGATTTTTGAACCTGCAGATTAGTTTAAATTAATGAGATATTTCTGAAGTGCAGCATAATGTAATTAAGAGCAGTAGCTAATACTTGGAACTCTAAATAACCCATGTGGTTTTTAAAAGTTTGCATGAGAGTAGGGGCAAAAAAAATCCTGATGATAGAATCCTGAAGGACAGCATGAAGAGGGAACCCAGATTCCCTGTTATTTGTCTCTAACATGTGTGTTGAGCAGTATTATTTGAAAAAATAAAGGATCTTATTCTAATACTATGAGATTACTCATAGTAATCTCATAGTATCTATGAGATTACTCATAGAATCAAATATTATGAGATTTTATAATTTGTCTGTTGAATGTTTCTCAGTGTTCCTTTATTCCTATAGCCATTTTAGAGCTGTAGTGTTTGCTGTAAGTCTTCTCAGAACAGGTTACATTTAGGCTTGTTCAACTAAAATTAGTCCAACTAAATTTCAATTAACTAAAATTAACTGTTTTGAAATTGTATAATACATATTACTTTTCTTGGTTTTTTTCTTACTTTGAAGAGCATTGATTTTCATGAAAGAGGAAAGAATCATAAAGAAAATGTGGCAAAGAGAATTAGTGAGGTAACTCAAATATCTTAATTGCACAAATGCTTATTTTTGCTCTTTTTCATTATCAGATTGGTTTAATTTATTCTCTTGGGGTTTTTTTTGTTGTTGTTGTTTTATTTTAGATTAAGAAGAAAAGCTTGGAAAAGGCAAAAGAAGAAGAAAACATGTCAAAAGAATTTGCAGCAATGGAGGAGGCTGCAATGAAAGCATATCAAGAGGACATGAAAAGGCTTGGAATTAAGCCAGGTAGTTCATATAGCTGCCAGAAGATTAAAGACAGAATTGAAAGAATATCAAATAGAAAAGTTTTGCCTTAAATTAGGTTTAGGAGCGAGAGAGAAGGCCTCCAGGACTGTTGCTCATTTTAAAAAAATGGAGTCTGCAAATTGGCAGCAGTAGAAGTTGCAGTACAGAGTATTTATAGCTATGGTATCCCCTGATCCATGGAACAATCAAATTTGGAGTAGAAAAATTAAACAATGTGTTAACAGAAAATTAGACTGTAGTTGGTGCTTTGAATCAGCAGTGCAGCTTCCTTTGATTAATTTTATGTTTCACTTTTGCCAGTTGGAGGCAAAAGTTCTCATGAGTAGGAGAGGCTGGGTTCCCACTGGTGTGAAACAGTGGAGATGAGAATCTCCTAGTCAGCTTGCAGCCCAACAAGTACCTTTGTTCTGGACATTGAAGACAAAATTGTCCTTTAAAAACAAGTTTGTAGTTTCAGGCCCTTATAGCAGCTGTCTTTTTCATAACTCTTTTATTTTCTCTTTTGTTGTTCAATTAGAGCTCATTGGTCCTTATGATTTTTCTCTTTCTAACTCATCATTTTAAATTTGGACCTTGTTATTGTTATGATGCTATAGTAGTGGTAAAAAGCATGATTCTTTTAATATAGTCTTTTAAGTGCCCCTGCTAGGAGTGATTTTCACTCATTAATGATTTTCACTCATTAGTGAGAATACTCATAAGAACAAAGTTTCCTATTTTCTGTGGTGCAAGAGTGACTAATATTTAAGTTCAGAATAGTACTCTTTTTTTCAAGGATTTTTTTTTTCTCCAAGATGATGTAGGTTCCAGTTCAACACAGAGTAAAACACAGAGTAACACAGTGGAAACTAAAGCAAAGAAAGAAAAGAAAGAGAAGAAGGAAAAGAAAGAAAAGAAAAAAAAGACACCTCAGGATGCCTCAAAAACTGAAACGAAGGAGTGGGTGCAAGGATTATCTCCCGAAGGCTATACATATTACTACAACACAAAAACTGGAGGTAAAAGCTATTGAGGAGCATGTGCAGATATTATTACCAAATCTAAGTGAGAAAAGACTATCTGCATTTTTTTTTTTTTACTTCTCTGCTCTTTCAGCAGTATGCTGTTAATTAAAATGTGAACATGTAGATGGAGTTTTGGTATACAGCATTTGAGACTTGGGTATCCAGAATTTCAGACTGGTTTTACTGTTGATTAGTAATGGAAGAATACAGTAATTCCAGTTTCTGGAAATGTTTGGCCTGCCAGGGGTTAAGTACACAAAGATAGCAGTGTTCTTCCTGAAGAAGCTTTGTGATCAAGGATGTGAAATAAACTCATTGTGTCTTTCCACATTTACAGGATTTATCTAACTGACTTCTCTTGAGGAGCTTCATGTTGTGATTTACTTTAGAATATAAAAGCAACCTTCTTTTATGATTGATGAGAATATTACAAAATGTTTCTTATAAATTTAAGGATTAACATTAGTATTTACTGTAGTCTTTTATAATTTTTTTTTTTAACTAAAAATCCCATGTCTCTGTATCAGGCATAGTAATAGAGTCTGGAGGGTTGTTAGCTCCAGTAAAGCCAGCTGTAAATATGATACTTTGGTTTATTGTTCCTACCACAGTTAGGTCAAGGATTATTCATATTCCAGCATGGTGTATATATATTTATATAATTTGTTTATATATGTGCACGCAGCAGTGTCATATCCTTTAGATCTGTTTTTAGTAAAGATTATTAAATATAAATGAAATTGAATGATGTGAAATGGGTGAAATATGCTTTTTTTTTTTTAAGAATCACAGTGGGAGAAACCGAAAGGATTCCAAGGCAACCCTCAAAACTCACAAACGGTAATCAAATTATCAATAGTTTTTTGTCCTTGTAAACACTTAAATAATCTAAGCAATTTGCAAGTCATCTGATTGAGGAAGATTAATTTTTTGCCCTTTAAAGTTAGGAAAATATAATTTGAATATGTAAAATCTTATATGATAAACTGCAGTTTTTCTATAGAAATTCTGTTTGGCTAATTTCTCTGTCAAGGGAAGAGAAGTAATTAGTGATGGTTGGGTTCCTGCAGAATATATTTATTTTATGCTTCAACCCATAAAATTGAAAGCTTTTGGGAAATTCTGAATAAATTCTGTTAAACCTTTTTTGAATGAAATGTAATTATAAAAACTAAACATTACACAGTGGGAGTAGTTAAGCTTCCTTTATCTAAGGCAGCATTGAGACTGCATTGTAGTAGTTGAAAAAAAAAGAATGCCCATTTTTTTGTGTTTGTTTTATGATACAGTTACATAATAAATTGTGTTTTACTGGGGTTCTTACGATCATGGAGCCTATATGCAAGCAATTATTCAGCAAAATTAGTAATTTACCACATTACTTAATTTTCCTTATTTGAGCCACAGAAAAACTTGTAAAATAGTCCAAAGGCTACATAAGAAAAAATTCTTATTATGATTAATGGGTTTTCCTATTATACTTACCACTCCAGGATTTTTGTGCTGCTCAGCATTAAAAATGGGATTTTTCCAACACTCCTGTGATGTCATGTTTCGCAGTTTTCAAGATTGGTGTCATATATACACTTTAATTTGATGACAATTTTGTTGGGTTTGCCAATGTTGGATTTTACTCTAGAGTTCAAAAGAACCTGGTGTTTTCAGAGTGCTTGATATTCTGTAGCTCTGTATCATTACATTGCATGCTACTCTGGCTTTCTGATTCCCTTGTCCTGTGGTTTTGCACAACTTGTTAATCAGCACTTCTACTTTATCTTTCCAGTCAATGCATAGCATTGCAATATGTAAAGTCAGTCTTACTGTAGCCTTCCACTGAAGATGTGGTCCTAAAACTAATCTTATATGGTCCTTGGTACATATTTACCCTGACAGTGACCTAGTTCAGGCAGTGAAGGCATCAGAGTTGAGGTTAGTGCTTTGGAGACTTATTCCCTTGCTATCAGCATTCTGAATAATCAGAAAAAATGCCAATGTGGGCAGAGCAGATTGGGGGTGAGAAGGCACTCCCTTCTTGGCATCAATTTGAAGTTAGCTTATCGTAGCCATATCAGAAGCACACACCTTCAGCCCCCAGTATCTCTAACACCACACAGCTGTATTTCTGTATTTTGCCATTCCTCCCTCACCCTGCTCAGTGACTTCGTCCTGTCTTGAGTTATTTTCACTATCGCTAAAAACAAGCATTTGATTGCTCCCTTATTTAGTCTGAGCTAAGGATATTGGGAACATTCCAGATCTCTAGCAAGGACTAGGACTCACTGCCCAGAAATTAAAGGGCATACTTGCAGTACATTGTGCCAGGAGCCCTCCTGGCTTTACAGCAAGTTAGGTTTTGCTCAGACTTGGTAAGAGGTGGGGAGGACATGAAGGGGCATGTTGAAGGCTGCCTATAACCAGTTAGACTGACAGTGTGCTTCTCAGCATTGAGGTCACACTCAGTGTGCCTAGCGTCAGTATTGGCTGAAAACCTCCAACCAATAGGTCTACAAATGCTCTGGATCTAATTCATAAAAAAAAGAGATGGGTCATATGTTTTTGGCCTCCTTATCCTTAAAATAAACTTTCCTTTTGCTTCTTTTGTCAAAACACACTTAAACTTCTGAGGGCAAAACCTTGAGAAAGCATGATTCTGAAGGCTTATGTGCCTTTGCCTGCTCTAAAACGATCAGTACAATATTTTGTGTTTACAAAGTGGGTGCAAGAACTTTACCTTCTGACTGTATTGTGCTTTTATTAAAAAAAAACCCAAAGTTTTAACGAGAGTATTAAGCAAATGTGTAGGTCGACAAAAACCTGTCTGTGTATCTCTGTACACATAATATGCATTTATTAATACCAAAATAATACATGGTGAAGTTTCCCAATACAGAGCTGGAAGTATTGGTGCTTAAGGAGCAGGGAGGTAGTTGTGTGCATAAGAAGGGATGAAAACTGTTTTCTTAAGGAAGATGTTAGGACGTGTAATAACTGATTATATAGCTGTAACTGATTCTGAAAAAAAATTACATACCCACAAAGATATACCAGCAATTTTGGCCACATTTCATGTTTATTAATTAACCAGTAGGGGAAAAAAGTGCATTGTTGAAATTGATGCTTTAGTAAAGAAGTTAAATTGTTTGCATGCAAAGTTTGATTCTATAATTATTTGTTGTAATTTTCTGGTTTGGGATAAATTTTATTTGTTTGTGTATATTTAATTTGTGATACAATTTATTGGTACTAGTTTTCTGTAGCCCTCACAAAGATACAATTTTATGGTACTAGTTTTCTGTAGCCCTCACAAAGACCTAAGTCCCAGAGAATTTTTTCAGCAGTCTTCACTAAAGAGAATGACACAAATAGGAAATTACAGCCTCAGGGGTGAATACTTTGAGAAAACCCAAAAGTAAAATAATGGCCCATATAAAAATTTAAACAGTATGGTAACAGTTACTATGCAGCCTCATACTAATTATCCACTGTTTGAGAAATAATTGTGTAGGTGCATTTGCAGTATTTTAAGTTATGGAATTCCATCTCATTGGAGTCAGAGGGAATACTTTCTAACAACATTGGGAATTCAAGCTTTAAACCAGTAAGGTGGTCACAGACAAAAAGTACTCAAGGATTGAATAGACTCATAAATTATGCATTGGCTGATCCTGAAAACTTTTTTTCATGATTTTTTTCATCTTTTTCCTAGGGAGCAGAGTGGGTGGAAGGTGTCACTGAAGATGGTCATACCTATTACTATAACACACAAACTGGAGGTAAGTACTTTCTTCTTAAACACTGCATTGGGAGAGAGGGTTTTCAGAAAAACCTCTTTTTTTGTTTTGCAAATAGCTGAATTTTTTACTAAGTTCTGTATTTTTTAAGCTGCTGTCTAAGTTGGAATAAAATAGTTGCTTAAGTCAGCACTGGCTTTCTGGCTGCCTTGTCAGTGTGCATATGTTTTTGCTTCAGAGGTTTTTTTGGACATTCAACTCATAATTCTAAATTAGGCATTCATCTTTACTACATATATATTGGAATTACAATTTGGAAACCAGAAGAAGGCAGGATTTTGTTTTGATGGGCATGTAGAACTGACTAAGAATACCTTCCAAACTTTTCCTCTTGCTGACGTAGCGTTGATAAGAAAGTCCAGAATCTTGCCTCCTACTACTTTTCCACTTTTTTCTCCCTACATGGGGAACTTTGTGGTAACTCCCTCAGAATAGCATCTGTTTTCTAAATCTATTTGAATCATTTTAAGGTCAATGATGCCTCTCTGGAGAGCAAGTGATTTTTTTGCTGACTATGAGTTTTCCTTCTGCAGTTGGGTATGAAGTGGCATTGCTAATGATGCCAAGAATAGGGGGGAAAAAAAAGCAACCAAAAAAAACCAACCAATAAAACTAATCCAAAACCTTTCAGTTTTTCATTGGCCCACTCCCCTGCCCAAAAGATTTGCAATTTCTTTTGAAAGGGAAAGGAGATGTTGGTTATTTTTAAACCTTGCCATTCAAGTTCAGATACATTTTTGCCTATGTTTGCTGTTCTTTTAAGTACTTCATGGACATATGACACTTCTGAAGAAGATGTTTCTAGTCATCACATTTGGCAGAATTTTGGCTTTTGAGATTTCAAATTGATATATACACTTTTATATAGCTGTAAGTGTGTGTCTTGGGAGTGCTTGAAAATTACTTCTCTGTTCTGTTAACAGTAATCCCACCCTCTAAACGACAAGACAAATTTTTAACTGAGATAAATACTTATAAGTGTCTCGTGTCAGTCACATAACTTAGGGGACTGATGGCTCCAGGCTTGGTGCTACCAGTCTGGGAGGCTGCACCTACTGCACTCTTTATGTGGCACCTGGGAAAGTGGACTTGCTCAGTTACTGATCTGAAGCCAGGTGACAGCAGTACCCTTAAGAGACTCTGCTGTTCATGCAGATCCATTCATTGCCAGTTTCTTAAATCTTTATTTCTTCAAGATACATCTAGGCACATATATGTTGTATTGTTTGCAGTTAGGAAAAAAAGTAGGGTTTTTTTACATCTGAAAGTTTATTTAAAATTATAGACTGAAAGTTGGGGTACTTTTGCCGTATTCTTACTAAAACCAGTTTTAAGACCATTTAGTCAACTTTTATTTGAGTATTTCTTCTCAGTGTATATACTGCAATACTACTTTTAAATTGAAAATGAGGATATATGTGTATGTGCATATCGTGTATGTACTTTCATGTCTTTTCAGATTGATGTTTGTATTTCCTTGTTTGCTTGAGAGCTCTTTTAATTAGAGACCTAACATTACTAAGAAAAGTAGCACTAGAAAAGGGTTTGGCTGCCTGGAGACCTGAAGCTTGCAGTTATCATTCTTTACTTTATCCTGTCCTTGTAATCAATGAACAGCTCAAATCAAATAGGCACATCTACAGGGCAGTTAATTTATTTTTCTCTCCTGTGTAAGGATGAGAGGGACCACAGTCTTGTGGGTCACAGTTCACTGTGTGTGATGTTTTTTGTAAGAGCTAATTAAAACAAGTTTTATCAACAGTGAACTCAGCTGTCCTGACTGTGTCTCTGCTGGGAAGAAATGTTATCTTTCTGATTATGGTTATTAAAACAAATGTACCAAACAAAGGCAAAAGCTTTTTGCTAAATTATTTGCTGTATTTTTGCATAAGGCAGCACTGCTTCTGAAAGGTTATGTTGTCAAAGCAATAAGAGATCAAAACAAGAAGCATAAATAATGTGGTTGTTCAAATGTCTTGGACAGTATCGACATGGGAGAAACCGGCTGGCTTTGTTTCATCTTCAAATGAGAAGGGTCAGAGTGACAAGCCTGCAGAAACAGCATCTGAATCAGACTCAGAAGACAGTGAGAATGAAGAAGAGAGTTCAGAAACAAACTTCAAGGTAAGTTTTCCTCAGATTTATTTTGCATAGAAACTTATAACTGAATCTTTGATGATTTGTGGTAGGCTGTACTTACTGAAATGAGATTGAAATGTGTGACCAAAAGTAAAATTTTGCACTGCTTAATTAAATGAATCTTTATTCAATTATTTGGCTCATTAGTGGCACTGTTCCAGAATAGAAAGCATAATCCTTTCTTCAACACACCAGAAGTACCTTGAATTCTACAAGACATGTGATGTTCTCTGAGAAAGGTCACTGTCATCGCTCTGAAATAATCCACAAAATGGTTTGGATTTCAGTGTGAGGATGACTTCAACCTTTCATTGGTAAATGTGACTGCCAGTAGACCTTCAGGGAATTCTTTGGACTGGAAATGAAATGGTTGTATTTTCCTTATTAAAATGAGAAAAAATATAGCACATAGTACAAAATCTGTATCAATTACATATTTTAAACATACATTAAAACTTGAGATAAAACATCTGATAATGTCTCTGGTTGAGCTGGATGGTTTCCCTGAAGCTGGTAATTCAGAACAGACACAGGCAATTTAAATACAAAATGTATTCATAGACAGGTAATAATTGTAAAACGCATACTTGTGTATCACTGTGCATCATTACAAACTGCTACCAGGTATTAGCAATAAGTGTGTGCATCTGCATGTAGAGGAAGTTGTATTTGAAATTTTTCATCTTTATTTTAAGATATGCTAAGCTTTGTTTTCCAGTGAGTTTGTAAGTTTGCTAACTTCAGCCTTGGTAGATGGGATTTTCCTGCTTTAATTTCTTGTGACATTAAAGATATATTTTTCATCTATAAAACTCAAGAAGAAAAGTTTGTAAATCTACAAACCACATATTGCAATATGAATTTATTGCTTCAAGTTACTCTTGGTTGAAAAGCATGAATAGTAGATAATAATAGTAGCAAATAAAAGATGTAAAATAAAGCTACATTATGTTTTTATTTAGGCTTTTTTGCTTAAGATGGGTTTTTTCCTCTTTAGAGGAAAGGAGATAATGGTGAGGAATCAGAGGAAGGGAAAAAATCTCCCAAAGCTAAAAAGTTAAGCCCTTATGGGAAATGGCGAGAAGTTAAGTCAGAAGAAACCACGGATAAAGAGGAGACTACATCAGCTTCCCAAGAAACCTCTAGTGATGGATCTAACATGACCAACCCTTATGGAAAATGGAAAGCACTTAAAGAAGTAGGGGAAGAACAAGAAGAAGAAGCAGGGTGAGTATCTTTTTACCATCCTTACTTTCATAATGTTGTTTGCAAGAACTGAAGCTTTTTCCTCTGAATTCTGGCAGAATTAGCACAACTGTGACTGGAAATATTGCCCAAATACAATGCTTTTCACAATGATTATTTTAAGTAATAGTTCTCCATTGCAGACATTGCAGGTGTTTTGGGTTTTGTGTACAAGTTCACCATGAGTACAAAGTAAATTGAAGTGATTTTAGAATCATAGTCATGCACTGTTTTTTCAGAAGCTGAGTATCAAATATTTAAATGTTGTTACTCTGAGCTTATGTTCCTTACATCATCTCCTTCAACAAACTGATTCAGCTGCCCCAGGAGTTCCTATGATCTCTCTCTCTTTCTCCCCCATGTCAGACCAATGAACTGCAGATGTTGTCATGAAGTGCATCTGATCAGAAGGGTTGTTTTGTTTGTCTGCATAATGCCTGTGGTGGATCTTTTGTTTCTTCCTTGTGAAGTATGCTCTTTTATTGTCAGCTTCTTCTTGTGGGTTCTTCAAGGAGTCTGGCAAAAATAGGTTTTGGAGAGTGAAAAGAGTCTTTCTCCTTATGCTTCCTCCATTCTTCAACATTATTGAGCAGGTAGACCTCTGACAGTGCTCATACTAAATTAAGCACTGATGCACTTCTTGGAGATGATAATGTTCACATAACACCTCCTGAATTGCACCAGCTAAACCGCTCCTCGACTCCTGAGTCAAGGGGTTTTTGGGTTTTTGGAAAGTACTGTGTAGTAAAAAGTGCTTTCAGCCACTGGACCTGATAGATCAGTCTGTACTTCAGCAGACAGGCTTGAGATGAGCACACATGTCAATGAGACAAATGCAGTTGTTCATTATTTAAATTCAGTCTAGGAACAGTGTCAACCACTTCCAGAAAGTTTACACTTTTGGGATACTACAACAATCACATTTTCTTGACTTGCCATCATTCTTGTGGCTCCTATTTGAGTTCTTGAACCAGATCCATGTCTTCCTAGAAGCGTGGAACTTCAGACTGGGTGTAGTACACGAGCTGACATCAGGCTGACACTCAGTAGTAGCAGAAGTATTCGTGTGTGGATTGGCCAGTATCTCTGCAGCAGTGTTGTACGGGTACAATACCTGTGATTTAGGTAACTTTCTGCCAGCTCTTTGGTTCTTCTTCTTCGTCATATGTTTGTGCCACGGGTTATCCTTGTGGAACACAGTGTTTTAATGCTGACCCCTTAAAATTGATAGGTCATTTTTAGTTGTTGTCTTTGATTTGTTTGGATCATTATTGGCTGTGATCCTGCCCTCCAAAGCCGCCTCTCCCAGCTTAGGATTGCTGTCTGATTTGGTAAGCTGGGTCTCTCTTCTGCCGTGCAGTCCCTTCAGAATGGACACTTGAGGCAAACAACTCAGTGGTGTTCTGGCAGTGAACCCTGCTACTACTCACTGTCTCCCATCTTTCAATAGTCTTACATGTGCAGACATACAGCCCTGTTACCTCTTGCAGGACTGTCGACACAATGAGTGCTTGGGCCATGCTATAAGTTCTGTACAGAATGAGGTATTCATTTGTTACTTTTTATGGCAGCCCACGCAGAAGAAACAAAGAACTTGGGTGTTTTTTCTTGATGCCTGTCATGTTGATAACTACAAGACTGCATGTAGCTCAAAGCTGTTTTGTCAAATAAAAATATCTGTTGCTGACTGCAGTACACCATGTTGCTTTCTGCATGTAGATTAACCCTTTTACATTTTCCTCTCTTCTTCCAGTGAAAAAGTGGACCTGGAGCTTCCAAGTACAGAGAGTGACAATGTAGCAGCCCCAGTGCTAGAGGATCCAGAAGAGGAAACAGTCATATTTAAAGAGAAGACAGTCACCTCCCTCGGAGACCTGACAGAAGGGGTGCCCATGTTTAAGAAGAGGAAATTTGAAAATGGAAAATCTAGAAACTTAAGACAAAGACTAAGTGATCAGTAATACTTAACAAATCATTTTAGATTCTGTTTGAGCTAGAGTGAATCAAAAGTATAATATTTTCAACAGGCTTTTATAAAGAAAGTGTTGGATAGAAGTTAAGAATTTATAGGTAATAAAGTATATGTGAGCTTAATATTTTTTTATTTTATTTTGATGTGATTGATTTTGGAATGGAAGTTTGTGTGAAATTACTTATGCAATATTGTACATACATGTATTCTTTATTATAACCATGCCATCCAAGTTCTATTTGCTCTGTGTATGCTGTTTTAAATACATTTCATAAGGGTTTTTTACTCCTTTTCTAAGTATGTGAGAATGCAGTAATCCTTAATCTGACAAAAATGAAGCAGACCTTCTATTTTCATAGAGGAACTGGATCAACAGAATATACTAGAGAGTAAAATCATCCCCCAAGATTGTTTATGTGGTGTAGTTTCTCACTAACAAGTAAAATATTGTGCTTACTAACCTTTGTCTGATCGCTTGCAAAAGAGTGGGTGGTGAGACTGCCAGCATTTCAAACTGATCATTTAGAAGCTGTTTTTAGAAGAGTTAGTCACATCAGTGCCACCCATTCCAAATGATGTTCTGAAAACTTATTTGTGTATGTGCATGGTAAATGTATTAAACCTCTGCAGAAGATTTAACTCTGATCAATCCTAACTTGTAGTCACAGCACCAGAGCCACCCCTGTTGGAGTAGACATTTCTGTGATATCTTCCTGTCTCCTGCTTTGTTGTCTACTTGAATTTTTCCTTTCTTTTACTTATCAAGTTTTCTTTTTTAGTCTTGCTTTCTTTTTGTCTATTTCCTAGCAAAAAACCACTTGCCTGATATTTTAATGAAAAAGTACTTTAGAGACTTGGCCCTGCTACAGCATACAGGACCATTTTTGAGGTGGTTGTGTTTTTTCTCTTGGTAAGAAGTGTGTGTTTCATGGTTGCAGTGTTGGATAAGCTGAGGGCCTAAGTGTGTTGAAGCTTCATCATTCTCGTTACCACAGGGGAGGAAACCAAAAGATCAGCAGAGCTGATGGCTGTAGAGTCCAAGATGACTTGGACATTTCCTTAAGGATTGTCCCACTTGGTGGGATTGGTCTGCATTATCATCACCAGGATTCATTGTCTGTGTCAGAATATAGCTGCACTCATTGCTTCTCTAGCCATCAAACAGTGAACCAGAAAGGTCCAAATAATGAATCTGTTAAAAACTATGTCTCTAATCTTAAAGCTCACAGTGTTTTGTTCAGGAGAGTCTCAGTAAAAAAAAAAAGGAATGCAGCTAAGGCAGTTGTCAAGAGTCCAGCAACATAGAGTTAGTAACTGCTGAGCTTGAATGTCTTTGAGAAAACAACTATTAATCTGTTGGATCAACTGAGAAAGGAGTGCAGGATAGGGAATCTGGTTTATTCTGTATTACAGTGGAAGTTGAAGTTCTTTTTTCTATTCTTAGAAGAGAATTAGTTATTGTATTTAATCCCATGTGTTTTCTTGGCTTCCTCAGGGTTGATGAATTTGGCTGATGTTTGTTCTGATAAATTGGAAAGTTTACTGTAATGTCTGACCCTGCATTATTATTTAGAGATGCAGGACACATGCAGGATGCTTCAAATTCTGAGATGCAGGAATGTATGACATGTACTCCCAGAAGAGGGTTTCTTAATCAGATATTTTAGGGTTTGTTCTTGCTTGCGCATTACTCTGGGAGCCTCCTCTAACTTGAAGTTTTCTTGTGTTTGTGGCCAGTTTACTCTTCCAATTTACACAAGTCCTGCTAAGTAGCTTTCCTTCATCTTGATCTCTCTTTGAAATCATAAACAGCATCCCTGTGTGACAGGATCTTCAGTGTCCCACCAGTGCTTCTCTTCACCCATTCCAGCCTGTGTCTGCCTGGACTACACTTGCCTAGATGGATTTCCCTGGGCTAGTTCACCTTGATTAAGGCCATGCATGATATCACCAGTACTTCTTAGCATATTGGAAGTAACTCTTGATACTTCCCTAAACCTCATTTGCTTTTCCCATGACCTCACACACTGTCGGCCATGGGCACCGTCACCAGTGACTTACCACTATTCTTTCTGCTCCTTTGCTTTCGCCAGCTGCTGAGTTACCAGCTGGTCATGCTTTCCTTTCAAGCACAATTCTTTATTTTCTTAGACATTTTTTTGTACTGCTGTACTCATCCTCCTTCTGTTACTCCAAAGTATATGCATTTCATTATGATTTCTGAAAAATTTTGGTTTTGTTTATTAGTACAGTTTTGTTGAGTAGTATAGAGTTTTCTTGTAGGTTCCACTTTTAATGTCCTCTGAGGAGGATAGCTTTCCTCTTTTAGTGAGGTTCCCGAAATATTAGCATCTTTCCTTTAAAATGCTTTGTCACTTTGAAGTGGTCACAGGCAGCGATTTAAGATACCTGTAACTAAATCTCTTGAGCAGATGTTTAAAGACATCTGAAAATGAGTGCTCAAAACTTCTTTCCTTGTGGAGCTGCTGTTAGTTGTAATATGAGCCAAAGGTCTCTGTATTGTATTAAGTAGACAAACCAGAACATTAGGAAAAAAGATTGAAAGTTTTCTTTGCTTACAGCTAGTAAAGTTAGTTTAAATACCATACGTGTGGTTTTAGCTGATGTGACTTTTAAAGCCTGCATTTCACAAAGAAATACAGCACTTTGCTCTCCACTACCTCTGAAAGTCAGAGACCAGTTAATTCTTTGTTCTTAAGTGTAAGTTATAAAAAGGGCCAGTTGAGTTTTGATATATCCTAAACCATTGTTTAATTTTGCACCATGCTGTCATTCAATTTCCTTACTGTGTATCTAAACCAAATATTTTCTGCTCTACACAAAAACATTGTCTTGTGTGAGATTTAAGGCAGACATTGCTTTTCCAGGACATCTGTTTTGCACAGATTTCCCTCCCTTCTGTCCTAGCTCCCTGCAAACTCTTCTGCTTTTGGAATTTGCTATAGGAGCCCTCTAGGTATTGCCACTGTTACACTCCTCATCTGCTAACCCTTCTTTGGGCTGTGCTGGCTTTTGACAAAGGAACGTTCCTTTTACTGTTTCAGCCAAGAGTTGTCTTTTCTGGCTGATCTATTTTCTATCAGACAGTGTTTTTGTCTGCTTGCCTGTTTTTATTGCCAGCTCTTTGACTACACCTTTGGTTTTATGTGATGTCATAAGCATTATGAGCAATATGAGGAGAGCCAGAGAGCAGGGTGCAGTCATTGCAATTTTTGATGATGATGGTTTCTTCTATGTGGTTTTGAGCCAGTCAATTCACTGCTCTGTACTTTTCTTTCATTGCCTCATGTTTTCATCCACCCTGTCTGCTTAGAAAGGCAGCTTCACAGCATAAGACTCATGTGTGTTTTTACAGCAGGGCCTGCCTGAAGTTGGGGATATTGCATATATGGAAAATAGAAAAATTGTTTTGTTGAGCATTTGCTATGCCAGGAGCTGTGCAGAGACTGCTCAATTTTACCCATGTTATAGAATAATCCTTGTTCCTATTTAGGCTAAAATGCATTTTAATCCTTCACCTGGGGATTTGTAGATTGAAATCCACACTTTCCTAATAGGAAAGTGATCCTCATAGATGAAATTTGACACCCTTATAGATAAAATTTGTGCCTGCAGCATCCTCCAGTTCCAGTATTCAGTTTTAGAAGTGGGAGGGCTGGGGAGATCATGACATGGATCTGAGTTAAATTCACCAACTTGTGCATGGATAAGTATTTCCCCTTTTTCTTTTTTCTTCCCTGAAAGAAATTTTATTTCAGTGCAAATTTGGGCATCTCAGAAAGGGAGTAAAAAACAATTTCATGCTGCTTGGTTTCTTTTGTTTTTTGAGTTGTGTCTCCGCTTTTTTAGTACTTTCCTTATTATTGCTTGTCTTCCTTGAATTGTCTTCCTCCAGTACTCCCAGATACGCAAATCTCTATCACCGCTGTGCCGTGTTTCTGTTGTCCTCCTTCACTTCTCCCCTGCTCTGCTGAGGTTTCCAGAAATCTCCGTGTTCTCCTGTAGCCGCCGTGTGTCCGGGTGCCGGCTCCCAGGAGCGGTTCTGCTGCCTGTTTGCCCTGTGCCCCAAAGAGCCCTGTCTGCTTTCCAACAACACACAAGCTGTTTCAAGGCTTTACATGTGCTCTTTTGACTTGCTTGATAATTCCTTTTCCCATGCCAGATTCCATTCCTTGCACAGGGTTTGCAGCCCTTAGATCCTTTTGCTTGTTGGTACAAAAGCTGTCTTTGTACCTCCTTCTGTCAGCAGTGGCAACCCTTGGGTTCTGTTTTGTCAGCCAGACCTCTTCAATCTCTCTTCTATCTACCTCTTAAGTGCTCCTACCTTCTACCTGCTAAATTATTTAACTTAGAATTTGTGTTAACTATTTGTGTGATTAGCAGGTTTAGTTTTGTGAAATGTTTCAGGATAGAACTTGAATTAAAGTTTCCGTACAAAGCAAAAAGTGTTGCGCATTATGATCTGACAAAAGGCTAAATTTGCCCAAGAGGATTTCCAGAGAACCAGATTTCAGAGATTCCTGGAGAATTTAGGGAATTCCCAGGATTCAAAAGCAGATTTGATTTTACCTGTAAAACCATAAATAGCCTGTTAAAAACCAGCAGACAGTGTTTTACAGACCATGGACTGGAGACAGTGGATTTTAATGGCTTGCTTGGCGTGATTGAAAAGCGTTTGTTTTAGTTTATAAGTAAGTCTGCAAAGTTAAACAGCTGGTTTCTCTTCTCAGTTGCAATTACAAAATATTGCAAGCTCTTGAAGTGGAATTTATATGAAAATATTGAATAAAGCTTTCATTTGAACAATCTGTGTTGGTACCATCGTGTATCTGTTCAGGGAGTTTAGGGCAACCTGGGAGATTCAGGGGTGCAGATTCTGTTAAAAATGGAGTCTGGGGTAAATATAAACTAAAATAGGTCCGTTAATATGGAAATGCTTCTTAAAAATAATATTATTATTACTTTTATTATTTTATTTTATTTTGTGGCCACCAACAGAATATCTGAGTGCCTTCCTGTAGCACCTTAAGCAGTAACTGGAAGCTGGTTTATTCTGTGCATCAGTTATGAGTAACAAAAACCTCGGGTTTTAATTTTTTATTTAAAAGTTTTTAACTGAGTTCAGGTTAAGATTTGTTGCGGTTACTGTTAGTAACATTCAAAATAAAGCTGAATATATGAGCTTTTTGATGATAACTGACTGTGATTCAGTATTTCATGTATTTGCTGGCCTTAGGAACAATGAGCAGTGCTCTGAGAGTCAGATACACACTCGATGACTCACTGAAAGCAATCGAGGCGAGGCACCCAGGCTGCCCTCCTTTAGCAGAGGGGGAACATCCATCTCTGCACTGCCATGGAAGGGCTGCTGCTTCCAGGCACACACAGCTTTTGTCTGGCTTCCCTGCTGGCTGGGTGAGACCTCAGCAAAGAAATGAAAGGGGTCCAGGAACTACAATTCCTATCAATCAGCAGGAGCTGCAGAGCGGTGAAGCTGGTGCCTTGCACGAGCTGTGATGTGACAGCTGTGGGGAAGCCAGGCAGAGGGTGGAAGCTTGTGTTTGCTGTAGCACTATTTGACAAGGAAGAGTGCAGGAGAAGGCTGTTTCCAGCAGAGGAACATTCTCTTGCACTGTTGTGCTGTTTGTTTCTTCCCAACAAACTGTTTTCCCTTTTCTTCCCCATGCTTTCTTAGTGTAATTTTCCCTGCTATTGATTTTGCTGCTGAAAGTCCTGACTGCTTGTAGGAACCAAAAAGCCCAAGCTGAAATATTCCATCCTGAAAGCACCTCAGAAATAGCAGTGTTATGCTGCACACCCTTTCCTTAAGGACAAAGTGCCAGGCCATGGTCAAACACAATCTCTCAGCTTGCAGCTCTTCCATCCCGCAGAAAGGCTAGGGTGGAAGAGCTCAGAATAAAATATGGCTTCAAGTATTTTTTAAGTTTGGAGAAAACAAGTTCAAATAATGTGTTCTCAATGAGGAGAAGCAAATATATCTGGTTTTAGTAAAGCAGAGCATTGCAGGCACTGGCCTCCAGTAGAAGTGTTTCCACTCTATCCCAGCTGTCATAGCTGTATTTGGCTGACATATACATGTAAATGCAATTGCAGGAAAAGCTTAGGACAAAGACCCTTCAGGATCTCCTGGGCCAGGCTGGCAGAAGGGGCTTGACTTCTAAATTTCAATACCTATATTCAGGATATCCAAAATTTAGTAAGAGGGGAGCTGCTGTCTGCTTTCCCTCTTCTCATCACTCTGCACAAAACCATCAACAAGAAAGGGCTACAGAAATTAATCAATCACAAATATCCATAAGGTCCTGCAGAAATATCACTGTCTTCCAGTAAAATAAATGAAGCTCGTATTTTTAAGTGTTTCAATAATTTTTCATAGTAAAGAACTTCATAGACACTAACCCTGGAAGCAGAATCTTAAATTTTTTAGGAAGTATTTAAGAGAAACTTGGAAATGTTTGAGAGATAGAATTAATAAAATTAATTGGTGCATATAATTGCATAATGATAGTGAGCATGGTAATTCAATGACCATGTTAGCTGGATATTCTCCTATTAATAAGGAGATATTAATAAGCTGATAATATTAGTTATTGCCAGTCTGTTGGCACTGCAAGAAGTATATGCTCAGTTGCAGATCTTTCTGGAGGGTTCTTTTTCTGGACTGCTTACTGAAAGAAGTCCAAGTCCAAATGAA